CACAATTTCTCGAACTCCAGACAGCACAATGCTCGAGATGTCTTGGATTGATTTTTGGTTCTTATCGAGTTGACGCATCAACTCGACGTGGGGAGGGATGCCAGATGCCACGAGACACTGCGACTCGAGCCCACAAATTACAAACAAACGAAGAGATGCCGCTAATCCGGGTTCTACGAACAAGGCGGTGGACAAAAGGGGATGGTTGGGTTGCAGATGGGCCACGAGAAAGTCGTAATGGTATACCAAGCTCGCCAAAAGGAGGCGCAGGACGCCAGACATGTGGTCGTGATGGGCAAAATTTGGAAATAACACTGAGATTGTTTCCAAAACCAGAGGGTTTGGGGCTACAGCAAAATGTGGGGGCAACATGGACAAATCAGCACTGTTGATAGGCAATCCGGCGACTACACGACCAGTAAACTGGTCACCGGCAGCCTCGTAGCGAAAGTAACGTTCCATAACGTTCCCCAAGGACCACCCACACCTCAAGCACACACTCACAATAGACGGACCACCAGTACTCCCAGAGGACACAAACGTGGCAGCTCCTTTTCGAATAGAGTGTGTTCCAATGTCGTTTGGCTTTTTTCCACCGTGTGGAGTTGACAGCATCCGCCCAAGGCTTTTGCCAAATCGGTCCTAATATATCATCGATGAGAATTACTACTACGTAGTAATAACTATATCGGGAACTTATATCTAAATTACTAATAGCTATTAAATGCATAACTTTATTTCTCGAATAGAATAGTAACTATAAATTTATATATTTCTTTCTTGAATAAAATAATTACTACGTTGTACCTTTTGCTTCGCTCCAGGAAACAGATTGCTTGGCAATATTTGGGAATTACAAGCCAAATAAATTGCCAATGCCAAATAGACACACACCTGGGGCTTCAAAGGGTTTGCAAAGCAATGCTTCGGGTCCTTATTTTTCGTTCCTACGACATAAATTAACTAACATATACTAATATATATATATATATATATAACAACGTTACCCTCTTGTGACGTCTTCGTTTTATGAAACACGATTCCAATTGAATCGTCCTCGCATGAAATGTGCTCAAATCTGCATTTTACTAAAATCAGCTAAAACTCGCATAATGAACCCGAGCTAAATTTACCGGATTGTCTCCGTTGATTTCGATCGACACATCAAATTCCATGACAATATGAGGTAGGCATGCGTGAACCGGCAATCAGGCAGGCCCATGCTGATCGCACAGAGGTGCTTAAACAAAAACGTCATTGGCTTCTTGCCCGTGAACTCATTGCTGCCACTTTGTAAGTCTTGGGCTACTGTCTTCCGAATACCTACACACTAGCATTAGGAAAAGTGCAAACCAGTATTAAATAGTTACCAGAGAAAATGACTTTCATATCGATGTTGTATGGCTCAGGCAAGGGAACACCTTGGTCGATGTACAGACTCTTGATGGCGCTGCGATAACCGCTGAGTGCGCCCATTCCGACTCCAGGTGACTTCAAGTGGGAACTGTTCTTCTACTTCTTCGGGTTCGTGCGCTATCGCCTCGGCCGATCGATCCTGTACGCCGTCTCTGGTACACCCATCCAATATCCTCTTTCTCTTCAATGTACGTCATGTTCTTCCCTAAGGCATCATGACAATCCTCATGGGCCGGTCGCGGTCTACGTGCACGACGTTCTTGCACGGTCCAGAAGATGAACGCTAAAAGGTTCTCGTATCCAAACACGCGGAAGTCCAAGGTCTCGTCGTGCCCGTCCGTCTCAGGGTATAGCATCAGCAGCTCCGGCTTCCCGGACGTCAGAGCCCAAAGGACAACTTGCCGTATCCCGGACTTGTGCTTGCTGATATGCGGTTGCGCCGTGCTCCTTCGATGGTGAAAGTACTGTTGGTGCTCATGTTGCTGAATGGGTGTCACTTTACTTTCTATTGGATGACGATATTTCATTTTTAGGGAGTATGATTGGCTCATGATTTCGTAGGAACAGCGCCCCTACGATTTCGTGTTTTTTTCAGCACAAATCAAAATATATAATATTTCAATACAAATACCAGCATAATTTTATTCCTGACTAACAAATTGTAATGGACAAACTGAATTCTGTATTCCTGACTAACAAATTGTAATGGACAAACTGAATTCGTAGGAGAAATGTTCCTACTATTCATCCAATTCTCCTATATAATTCCTACGTATTTCAACTTATGTCAAACGATAAATATTGTCCTCGAAAATAATCGTACTTTCAGTCACTTCTCCGGAGTAGTAATTGTTTCAAGACATATTAATAGTATTGTGCTTTCGAGTGAAATTTCGTGTTGTGGCGTGGTTTCTCGTTGGAATTTAAATCGATTTGATTGGCTACCTCAGGTGAGCTCAAAATTAATAGCCAATCAAAAACTTCTCAAAGAAATTCAACCAATCAGATCGATTGTGGATCGGTTTGGTCGGCGCGGTTCGATTGCACCCCCTCCCCAAATTTGTATCAAATCGACAATATTAGTATTTTTTGCCTTAATAGTCAAATAATTATAGTTTTTTCAAGGCTTTGGTATCACACAAAATATATTTCTTCCGGAATGATACTTTTCATTTCGAGTTTTGCTGTCAACTTGTTCGTATCCGGTCACAATTATCCGGCTCCGAATTTCGTGAAATCAGGACTTCGGATTGTCCTAGTCGTACAACTGGCCCGGCAACCTCAGCTGGCACATTGATCATGAACAAACCTGGAGAGTCGACGACGACGGCGCGGCGCGACGACAAGCCGCGGGAATATTCTTCTTCGTCTCATGGGGAGAAGAAGCGGAGTCGAGAAGATGACAAGAAGATGAATGAAATGGATCGACGCAAGATTCAAAAGTACAAGGACGACAAGCTCAAAGAACGCAAGGACCACACGCGCCGCGTGCTGGAACAGCAAGCACAGGAGAAGCGCCGCGCCCTCCTGGGCAAACAGTCCGAGTTCATCGGCACGCTGGAGTTCCGCAATCAACTGCCCGACCTTCCATTCGACGCCAAGTTCATCCAGTACGCCCACGACGCCGACCGGTTCGTCAAGTACAAGCCGTCGCAGGTCGAACGCGACTACGTGCACGAGTTCTACGTCGAGCAGAACCTCGGTCTGCCGATCGATCTCATTGACCCCGAGAAGTTTGAAGTGCCCGACGTGTCCGAGCGCGCCATGACCAACGTCGACGTCGAACTGCTCAACATGCCCGAAATCATCAGCGGCGCGTCGGCGGCCAAAGCCAAGATCCGTCCGCATGTGCCGTGGTTGCGGCGCTCCGAGTTTATGGGTACCGATCTCAGCGAAGCCGTGCATCAGGTACGATCCGTATCTCGTTCCTCGTCCTCGCGGTCCCAACGTGTATATATCATCATCATCCATCTCATGGTTCGATCCATGTAGTTCAAGAACGAGAGCGAGTTGCAAGTCGAGATTCGCGACAAGAACCAAGCGATGCTGTCTGTCATCATGCAAAAAGACTTGGAGCAGCGCGCGAACGAGTCGTTCGACCTCTGTCCCGCCGCCGACAACATGGTACGATGGTTGAATATGATCGTGTTGCTGCTATATTGACCTTTTACCCAAAATTTGGTTGGCTTTTGTGCTAAATCGCCAAATCTATCGATCGATATCTTCGTTGTACTGGTATATATTTTGTATGTACAAAGGTATCCGGTGGTGATTGATATGTCACACTAATTGAAGTCACACACTAATTCGACGTTGATGAAGGTTGTTTCCTGCAATCTGATTGGCTCAATCCTACTTCTGCCGATGATTGTTCTTGTGTATTTGGTTGTCATTCTACCTTGTCGCATGAAATATAAACACAACCATATCGCATGAAGTTAGTACCGCAGCATCATGACGATGATCCTGTCGTGGCTAGGTGCATCCGCTCAAGGCCGACCTCAAACCCGTCCAAGTGTGGGATGTCTTTCCCGACGAGATCCTATCGAGCAATATTTATTCCATCTTGGTACCTATCTCTTCTCACGTGCCCAAATAATCGTGATATTATTGTGTATCTATCTTATAGTCGTACGATATTTTGCCGTCCACTGACACCCGGGACCCCACCACCCACGACCGCGAGTCGCATGCGCTCCTTCGCAACGTTGTCACTGTGTCGCAGCCGAACGCGGCCGACGTGTTGTTGGGGTCGATTTTGTTTCCATCGACCGGCCACAAGGCCGTGGGCGGCGGCGACACCCACGACTCGGACGAGGATGGCGGCAGTGAAAAGTTCAAGTTCTTTCGGGATTACGTTCTCAACATCAACCACGTACTCTATATATAAACGTCGTCACATATGCCTGCTACTAGTACTTGGTTTGCACTCTAATCGCTTAAGTGTAGTTTCCCAACGACGTTCAGCAACTCATGCTCATGATCAACCCCGACGCAACCTCGGCCACGTACGCCAGTCTGAGCACCAACATCACCCTCAAAAAGACCAAGGTACATACTGTACAAGGAACGATTGAATATGTGACACTGTGCACAGATTGGCGGAGACTCCAAGCGCCGACGGGGGGCGGTGGTGCATCGCCGCGCGTACAACGACGCCGAAGAAGAAAAGCGCACGGAGAGCTTGCTCACTGTTGGTACGAAACGTGGATTATGGTCCTTTTACTCCAAAATTGGTTCGACTTTTGATTCTTTGCCAAATCTATCGTTCGATTCTTTGTCCTGACGTTTGTATGCTAAACTGGTCCAGTGTCACACTAATTTCGCACAAATTCGATGTTGAATTGGTCAAAGAGTGGATGATTTGATTGGCTACTCGATGAGCGTTGTGGGTTTTGATTGGTCGATCATCGATTGCATTCGATTGAGCATCCCACCCAGTTCTATTTCATATCGACATATCTATCTCCATATATTTGTATTGACTTGGGTGGTGTACTGGTTAGGGGGCATTTACGACGAACGATTGAACGGAATGGTGGGCCACGGTGGCCACCACGTCAAGGACGCCCAAGATGACGACGTGGGCAGTCCCGACGTCAGCGAAGAAGACAGTGACTAACTCGACCGTTTCCGTATGCAGCAATGACTACTGGATTAGAAAGAAGGGCTGCTATCAACTACTAATCGACAATCCCCCCCAATTCCCCCCCCCCAACCATCAGAGTGGCTTTACCAGTTAAAAACTCTTAACAAATCTGCGACAGAGTACCATGAGTTAGGCATACTGCCGCTGTTGGCCAAGCCGGCTGCGCACGAGTTTGCACTTGTGGTAGTAGTCCTAAGAATAGCCTCAATCCATCATATCCTCAGCAAGCCTATCGGGATCGTACGCACCACATATTCGTGCTGCGTCATACGTTCAATGTCGGCGTCGGTCACGTTGAGCAACTCGTGCTTGAACCCTTGAACAGTCACGAGTTCGTGGACGTAATGCGGGTCGACGTAATCTTCCTGGCTCGTGTCGCAGTTTTCCCAGTCCTACAACCTCGTCACATATCCAAGCAACAACAACGGCAGACCATGTCAAACCCGTCGTCGTCCATGTCGACACCATAGTCGTTCCATCCATGGCTAGTCGTTGTCGTCGTTGTCTGGCCTCCGCCCGAGTGCTCATCCAGGATGATTTCCGCCTTCATCGCATCATCCTCATCGTCCAAGCGACGGCCGGCGGACGGATCGTCGTCCTTTACATGCAGCTGACTCGTGCCAAACACTGACGCGGGCGGCGCCACGTTGTTTTGCTTGTACTTGGATGCCATGTCGTTGCTCATTTTGCTGCCTTGCAAGTGCGCTGGCAGCGCCTTCACCGCCGACGTCGGCTCCAACTTGACTTCGTTGCGCTACATAAATGTATGATAACTAGGTACTGTTGTGTTTATAGAATGAATCGACACAACCAAATTAAATGTACACAAGAACAATTATCGACAGAAGGATATATTTAGCCAATCAGATATTGCAGGAAACCATATCATCAACATCGAAGTAGTGTGTGCCATAAATTAGTGTGATACACCACCACCACACACCGTTTTACATACAACGTTCAGGACAAAGAATTGATCGAGATAGATTTGGCATATATTGTGCTTTCGAGTGAAATTTCATTGTGTTGTGGTTTCTCGTTGGAATTGAAATCGATTTGATTGGGTACCTCAGATGAGCTCAAAATTATTAGCCAATCAAAACCTTTTCTCAATGAAATTCAACAACCAATCAGATCGATTGTGGATCCGTTTGGTCGGCGAGATTCGATTGCACCCCCTCCCCAAATTTGTATCAAATCGACAATATATATATATCCATGCATGCAGCAATCATAGATATTTGTTGGTTACCGGTTTGTTCTCGGTGGAAATCGACACGACCACTTCCGGGGCCTATATTCGACGGACATTATGAGAACGTTAGCAACCTGCTCTTTTTGAATACAACCTCGTGGGCGTCATGTCGGATGGTTTACAATGGACTGTGTGGTACGTACTCTGTTGCCATACAAGAGGGACATTTGAGGCTCGTTGGCTCGGTTGTTGCCGCCACCACCGCCGCCCCCGCCCGCCCCGCCGCCCCGACCCGCAGGCACGCGAACGCTGTCCCCCCCTCGCCCCGCGGCTCGATTCTCGCTCGGCAAGTTGCTAACACACGATCATTCGATGATCAAACATACAATACACTAGTAATAATAAGTCCGTACGAAGGAAGTGCTTGGCCAGAGTTGAGAAACTCCTGAATCTTCTTCAAGCATTCGTTGATGCTGTCATGCAGGTCTTCCGCTCGGTTCACTTGAGCCGTGTACTAGCATCCACAACAATCCAACATCCGTGTTTATATTATATATATATATATATATATATTTGACTTTACCTTTTTCAAAAGACTTTGGGCACTTTGCAGCCGTTCGTTGTTGTCGCACTATATATATATATATATATATATAGCCACAGCAGTAGCACCAATCAGCCCAAACCGCTCAAATCATATTAGCACAAACAAACACAAGGAGCAACCCACTCGAGTACGTACGTACGTACTTCGAGCAGTTTCGAGTTGCAATGGCCGCAAAAGAACTCGTGGATCTCGGGCGTGAGCAGCTTTTGCGCCTCCAGCGCCGTGTACTCTCGTCCGCAGTCGTCATTGTCGCACCGATACGTTTGTCGTTCGATCTCCAACGACTCGGCTTCCATCAAGTACGTCCGGATAAGGTACAAGCGATACCGCACCACGTCCACAAAGTACTTGTAGTCGATGTACCTGCAATATCAAGTTTGACATGTTGTGGACATTGAGCGACGTACCAATACGTGGCTTTGGACGCCCCGCCCATCTTTTTGTCGTTCAGTTCCTCCCTGTGGTCGTCGTTGATGCATGAGCACGAGGTTACATACGTAGGTAGTAGTTTGAGCGCGTCCGTCACCTCGACACCAGGTGATCGGCTTCGAGGTCGTGGCATATCTTGCGCACTTGCTTCGTCTGCAAGTTCACTGCGTTCCCCATTTCATCGTCCTAGTTACCATCCAGTTTGAGATCGCCAACCAAGTGTGTAGTAGTATGTGATGCTGCCGTCGTCTGGTCCCTACCTTGAGGTACTTTTCTCGAATCAAAGCCTCTAGCACGACAACATGCTCATCTGCATAGAACGCCCTACGACAGCACCATCCACCACTCCTTCAGTGATCTAGTCCTGCACATCTCGTCGGAGGCAGATGTACCGGCCGACAATCTTGACCAAGTTCTCCACGGCCTGCGCCATCACTAGCGTCTCGTTTTTTTGGATTGTGCGAACTTGACCAACGTATTTTATTTTGCCCTGGGTAAAAAATGTTTTTTTTACCACAAAAAAAGTATTTTTGCAAAAAAAAGCATCGTTTTCGAGTGAAATTTCGTGTTGTGGCGTGGTTTCTCGTTGGAATTTAAATCGATTTGATTGGCTACCTCAGATGAGCTCAAAATTATTAGCCAATCAAAACCATCTCAATGAATTTCAACCAATCAGATCGATTGTGGATCAGTTTGGTCGGCGCGATTCGATTGCACCCCCTCCCCAAATTTGTATCAAATTGACAATATTTTCGAGATTTGAATTTGTACAAACACTCGACGTATCACCGACCCTGGAGCAAGACATCGCGCCAAGGGACGCCGCGACGAAGTGCGTCGATGCAGGTAAACTCGTGATGCAGCAACTGCGCAAGGATCGCAGAGTCAGGGTCGTCGGACAGAGGTCGTTCGTTGAAGCGAACGTACCCCTCGGGGGACTCGATGTCGTAAACGTCGATGTGATAGGCAAGGCAGAGCAGCTGGGCATCTTGGATACGAGGGAAGCCAATGATTCGCACAAGGTCGGCGAGAGGGAACTTGTCGTGTTTCGTGTACGCTTTCGACAGGATGCGAAGGTGGTGACGATACCGGGTGGCGAGCTGTCCGAAGCGAATGGCGCGATGGAGGATGTGTTGTTCGTCACCCCCATGACTCGTTGGGAACGACGTCGTGCCGCGAAACCACGACCACAGTGCCCGCGCATCGTTCGAATGCATGTACACGTCCCGAAGGGTCAAGGAGAATCCAGCATTGTCCATGTGGAGGAGGACGTAATACTTTTCAAACTCGAGCGACGTCCCTTTGAGCTGGCCCAATAGTGAGTGCATTTGGTCCTCTAGCAAGTGGCGCAAGGACTCGAACGACACATTTCCTTCCGCGGTGCTATGTCGCAACACACATTGGGCAACGAGGTAAAACCGTGCGATGGGATGGAGAATCGACACCGGGGCTTCTTCTTGCAGCACTAAGTCTGTGCGAATAGCTCGGAAGCGATCGTCTAGGAAATGATACAAGTCCAAAGGCAGCTCCAGCTCCGATGGCAAGAGCGACAGCAAATGGTGCGTGGTTTCCAGGAGTACCGGCACGGGCCGGACGTCACCAGGGTTGATAATCGTTCCCGCGGCCGACCGTCGATACCGCTTCACAGGTCCCCCATAGGGCGGGCGTTCGTACTTCCTACATAGAATCATGTCATGTCTACATCATGTCGCGATCTTTACGAGAGTTCATGATGCTCCAAGCGCTCCTTGGCCTCCTTGGATGGGCACATGCGGGTGCAACATCCTCGCATCCTAGGTGCCAGAATACGAAAATGAGGCTTCGCATCCGGATTTCCCGGATATACGACGTCGTGATTGGTCAGCTTTGAAGAATGTAGGTTCGTTCCCAAGCGTGCCTTTGTCCAAATCCCCAGATCCGCTTTATACATGACCGACCTGTACGTGAACGACACAAGCCGCGTTTGCAGCCAACCTGTCCAGGTAACCTCATGCCCCCACGACATGTCGCCGAACTCCTTCTCTGTATGCATGTAGGTCGTCGGCGTAGCCCGCGAGTCGGCGCTTGCATGGTCTGCCAACGGCAACCGATTGGCATTCGTGTCGGGGAACAGCGCCATATTTATCGCGCGTCTCGACAACCAGGGAACGAATGGCGTGGTCTTGGAGAAAGTAATCCCCCTCTTCAAGAAAGACGTCCACGCTCTCCTCTTTTTCCCCGACAACGAAGACATGCTCGTGGTGGTGGGCCACGAAGGCATTTCGACTGTGGACGTGTCCGCCGGCGACATTGTGTTCCGGGTACGTCCTGGCAAAGAAAACAATCACGAGAGCGACGTCACTTGCGCCACGTGGCTCTACGGCGGCTCGCTCTTGGCCACGGGGTCCAAGGACGCGAACATCAAGGTGTGGATCCGCGACGCCACGCAAACCAACGAGTGGACGTGCTTGGAAACAATCACGGGACACAAGGCTCCGCTCATGGCGCTCGAGTTCAACCTGTTCACGAACTCGTTGTTCTCAAGTGGTCGGGACAGTTCCGTCAAGCATTGGGACGTGCGCAGCTTGCATCCGTCTTCGATCGCCAAGCGCCGCGACGACGGCAGCATCGCGTGTCCGATCCTGTCGTCCATGGACGGCCACCAGGGCGACGTGATTGCGCTCACCGCGTCCTCGAACGGCAAGCACTTGTTCTCCGGCGCCCGCGACAACAGGTACTGTACACAAAAGTGTTTGGATCACTCGTTGACATTGAGGGTTAGCATCAAGGTATGGCACGTGGGGCAACATCGGGAGCTCCGCACGATCAAAGGACACGCGGGTGACGTCCGCCGCATGATCCTCATGGCGAACGACGAGTACATGTACTCTGCGTCCGTGGACGGCACGGTGCGCCTCGTCAAGCTGCTGCAGATCGACGGCGACGACGACCGCATCTTGTCGGCGGAAGATTTGGAACGGGATCGGGAGGTGGCCGACAAGTTGGCGCTGGAAGAGATCCTCGGGCTCGGGAACAAGGCGTTGGCGAGCGCGGGCAACGGTCCGTCCGGCGTGGCCGCGGGTGCCCTCGGGCTCGAAACGGATCAAGTGCTGGCGTCGATCTCAGCGCATGACCAAAACGTGTTCCGAATGGAAGTGAACCCGGTGAAGCCGCTCATGGCGACGGCCGGGAACCACGAGATTCACATCTGGGACATCTCAAACCTGGCCAAACCAGTTCGCATCAACGAGTTTGTCGGCCACACGAACGGCGTGACCCAACTCAACCTCGTTCACGACGATCAGCATCTCATCAGCGGCTCCCTTGACGGACGCATCCACCTGTACAACGTCGACACGCTGCACCGCGAGTCCAAGCTGGACGTGATCGGCGCCGTGGGGGCCACGGTGCTCACTCCAGACAACCGCGTGCTGTTTTGCTCGGGCAACGACTACGACATCCGCGGCTACTGGACGCATGACAACGTGCTCGTGTCGCAGTGTGTCGTCGAGCTGACTGGGCACTGCGGCAAAGTGTACTGCCTTGCCATCTCCCCCGACGGGTCTACGCTCGTCAGTGGTGCCCACGACTACAGGTATATATATATATATATATACCCATTCACTTTGGTCCAATTGTGATATCTATGATGATTATGCCGGCGTGTTTCATGAAAAAAACATATGCTGTCGTGCTTGGGGTTGTTTACGCCGGCGTGTTCCATGTTGTACATTGTTGGTTGATTCTGCCGGCGTGTTTTCCATGCGTGTGACATGGTTCCTCTGTAATACATTGTCTCATGGTGTCCTAGCTTGTGCGTGTGGTCGTTGAACTCGTTTACGCAAACATACCAAGGGGCGAACGCGCCCTTGTTGGCTGGCGAAGAAGAAGTCAAGTCGCTGACCCCGTCCAAGCGCGTCGAAAGCCCCCACGAAGGCCATGTGTTCGACTTGGCGTTCAGCTCGCCGGCGTCGGGCGGAGAACACCCGCGGTTGGCGTCGTGTGGCAACGACCACTCGATCAAAATCTGGCGGTTGAATGGCCGGTCGTTGTCGGAAGTGGCGCATCTGCGCGACGCGCACGCCAGCGCCGTGAGTTGTTTGGCGTGGGGGCGGCTTGCGTCGAGCTCGCTGCTGTTTTCCGGAGGCTGGGACCAAACGGTCAAGGTGTGGGACCTCTCGAACGAGTCCCGCGCCCCGTCCGGACCTGTTGGCACCCTTCAAGGCCACAAAGGTATTGTCTATTTCACGTTGTTGGCAGTGATTGACATGTATGGCGGTTTTACTGTAGGTCGGTTGTCGAAACTGCGCGTGTCCAACGATGGATCGGTGCTCGTGTCGACGTCGGCGGACGGCGTGGCCATGCTGTGGCAGGCGACCGCTCCGTTCCAGCTGCTGTGCACGTATGTTGGCACGGACGACGGCGGCATCAGTAGCTTAGCCATGGGCCAGAGCATCTTTGCCACGGGGTACGATGACGGCATGATCAAAGTGTGGCCGCTCATGGCGACCAACGGCGCGGTGCCCAACGACTACGCCGACTTGTTTTTGACGCAGGAAGACGTCGCGCGGGTGGCGGAAGAGAACGAGGCCAAGGAAAAGCACTTGGCCAAGACCCAACAGCGCAAGAAGTCGGGGTTCCTTCCCAACGCCAAGGCGCCGCAACTGCTCTAATAGCTAGTCCTGATGTACAAGTCGGACTGTCCATATATTTTTTGAATACAATTGTTTGTTACTGTTGAATGGACTTGTCAAATAGATTGGTATATGTAAAAGGGCAGATCGATACCTACATACGCTGCTATAGTATCGTTGGAGTGTCATATGGTACTAGTGTAGTGCTATGGAGGAATACATCAACGCCGTCGACAACGGCCGGCTTCGCTGGACGAGCATGTGTCGACGAGTGAACAACCAACGAAGGCGGTCACGAAGCCAGGCACGTTTAGGTACTACTAGTACTACTAGTTGCCAGTCACTATGCACTGTTGGACACGCCAACGGCAATGCCGAGCAACACGGCGAGGATTGCATGACGATGGGACACGACAATCGGCTCGAAGTGTTTGATGTCGCGACTGTACCCCATGCTTCCAGGGGCAATCTCGACAAGTCCAGCCACCCAAAGCGGCCGGATCAGTGGACCAAGTCACGAGCTCCAAGAAACATGCTGTCGTTTCAGAGGCAGGTACCCCATTGCGCACGGCACGATGGAATGTCATACATACAAGGCCTGGCTTGGCGATACGAAGGAGCCCTCCGAGTTTGGGGAGACAGATGGACGCTGACCGTCCAACACAAATTGAGCAGCGGGGACGGACGATCGTGAGGACACAACGCAACACCAAGAGACGAAATCGTGCAGAAGCTGCAGAGTCCCAGCAAAGACCCGACCATAGGCACAGCAGTAGTCGAAGTTGCCATGATACTGTAAGACAGAGTTTAATCCTTTTGAAATCAATTTTAATCCTTTTGAAATCAATGGCTTGGTAATTCGCTGATTGGACAGAAAAGTAGATATAACGTTATTGCTAATTTGCTGATTGGAAGAAAGACACACCGCATCTGCAGTCACCCACACTTGAGTACATTAATCGGAAAAGAGAGCGATGATAAGTCGGAGCCGTCGCCTAACTGTACTACGAAATACTTCACGTGTGCTGCTCGACGGCTTGGTTCACTTCCCATTCACGTTGCGGTGTTCGAAAGCATCGCTTGCCGCGACCTATCAATCGTCCCGGGGTTTCGGGGTTCCCGATAACACTCGTGAGTTTACAGTTAGTTTACGGTATACTCGGGAGTAATTACGAGTGTTTTCGAAAATGCATGGCTTGCTCATTCGCTGATTGGACAGAATTGTATTTCGAAACCATGGCATTGCGAATTCGCTGATTGGGCAGAAAGGCTGCATAATGTCCGGTTAAGCGTTCCGAACGAATAACCGGATACGATCTTCAACCAGAAATATCAAAAAGCAATGCCATCGCTGCTGACGCATGACGAACCGGCGGCGGCCTCCGCCGACACCAACCTCAAGTGGCGCGTAGACGTCGTGCTTCACACCAAAGAGCAGACCAACGTCCAAGAACCCAAAGCGTTGGTGGAATTAAGCTCTCAGGAGGTGGGTACAGTACATGAATTGGCTGCGCTCAAACTTGCTTGACCAGGCGGAAGGGAATACCGTGAGAATGCAGATGTCGCGAGCTCAAGTGTCAGAAGTACTTCGCGAATTTGAGAAGATCCAACAACTGATTGACGCCCGCCAAAAGGCAAAGGCTAATTAGGTGCCCGTGATGTCAAAACAGCGGACGACGGAGTTGTCTTTTCGTGGGTTCATGTGTCATTTCCAGTGTTTGGAACATGATACATCATGCAACACATAAAGTTAACCTATCTGCGGTTCGCCACGCCGAGAAATCGAAGACTTACGAGGCCTACACGATGGCCACATTGCAGAGGATGTACAGGTCAGCAGCACGACGCCGCCGCCCTTGGTTAGCCCAATAAAGTTATCTCTCTGCGCGTGGTAGAGGCAAAACACGCTGCGAGAGTTAAAGTTGAGAAGCTAAAAGTATGATCCTATCACGATCGCCACCGATTTCCACACCACGATTCCTTTCTTGGACGGGATTTCCATCTACAGTACTCAGACTATGCAATTAACGTCCATCGCCTCAGCCCTCCACCTTTTGATGGATCTAATTCCATGCCAAGGAGCCATCGAACACGGCAAATATGGCCAACGGAAGCGCAGACCTCAACGGCACGTTGATCACTTGCGAGCCCACGGCATCGCACACGGCCGCATCGGCGTGTCCTGTCGAGCATAAGGAAGCTGACCGACCTGCGCGTGCAAGGGACACGGACGCAAGCGCATATAGGGATATGTGCGCCGAGGGCGCCAGTGGTGATCGTGGACACTCAGTACAGATCTGCACTGAGTCATCTCGTACGAAGTAACTCGCAAAGAGTGTCACTTTCAGCCCAACGAGTGCCCGAAGGTCACTAGGTACATCGAGGTTGTGTATGTAGGATGGACCGGGGTTGTTGTCTGGAAGGGGGTTGGTTACATACACACTCGGACGACAGTGGATACAACCGCTCAGACTTCAAGGCGAGGGAAATCAAGCTTGATTTCAATATAGTATACTGTATTTGTGTTATACTGTGGACATGCTCCACCACTTTAACGTTACAATTCGGTCGGAAATTCAAACACGAGGTCCTTGTCATTGCCGCCGCCGGTGGACGCCGCCGATGCAAACTGCACACACGTGAACATGGTTACATGCCAAGGAGGAGGACGAACAGTACCTTGAGCTGTTGTATCACACCTTGGTTCACGCGTGTCCACTGGACAAACTTTTGGAGCTGGGCGTCACTCAACGGCATGCGGAACAGGTCCACCAAATTCTGCCACGACATATGAGCATGCACAGAGAATGAAAGTGAGGATACATGTGCTACCTACCTCTGTGTTGGGGAAATGTAGCCATTCGTGTACATGCAGCGCGGCAAAGCACTTTTCGACGATCGCAAGGCGCGTCGACTCGTTGTGGATCGCAGGTTGCAGTTGCGCGAGTCGCACGCACTGCGCTTCCGTGAGTCCCAGCACTTGCTTCAAGTCGGCAAACGAGCAGTCGTTTGCCGCCGCCAGGGCTAGCATCCAGCTATCTTCGTTCGCTTGGCGAATCTATCCCTCCATGTTGGTTGCCATCGCCCGATTCCCCGCATCACCACCACCGAAAACCACCACGGTACCTACCGCACAAGCGTTCCGAGAATGCTGCTTCAATAGCACCGACGTCTGCTGGTGTTTCGTGTCCTTGGTCATGTTAACGCTTTGGCGTTGTTCCCCTAACGTTACACCCAAGCAACACATTCTTAGATGATGAGTGATGCGGGATGGAGCGTCGATATATCGATCGGTATACCGCTGAGCGCGTCCACGAGGGTTTGGACGTCGCCTTGTCCAAATCGATGGGCATGGATCTTGGCCAAGATCGTTTCCAGCTCCGACACCTGCGTCTCGTAGGTTTCGACGAGCCCCTTCTTCTTTTTCCGCCGCATTTGCGCAGTCTTTCGGTTGTTGTCGAGGCGCTTCTGGCGCTTCGTCTCCTCTTCCTGCAGCTTTTTGTAGATTGTGAGCAGTTCCTTGTTGTGCATGATGCTTCGAATCTGTTCGTCGCTGATCTCGCTTTCGTCGCGGACAAGGAGCTTGGACAGCACGGCTTTGTCGAGCACAAGGCCGTGGGTGCCGTCGGCAAACGCGTCTGCTGTCATGTCCGAAGAAGGGTGTGCGACGGATGTAAACTTGCTATTGGGGTAGTGGAGTTGGGAGGACGAGGATGATGGGGGCTTCCACCGACCCTGGACGGCCGATGCCGCCAGTTGCTTGCCAGACGGTGGGTCGGTCGCGTCGAAGGAAGACTGTGTTGGTTGTTGTGCAAAGTACGACGATCCATCTGGAGGTACCATCGGCATGTGGGAAGCAGGGATGTACGACGAATCGTCGGAGTACATCATGGACGGTGGTTGGAGGTGCATGGGATGAGGATGGTACGCCATGCGAGATGGCGGAAGCTGCATGGAGGGAGCCGGCTGTGCAAACATCGCCATGTTAGAAGCAGCAAACGTTCCGTTGTTCATTTGGACCGCCGCCGCCGCGACCTGCCGCCGTCGCTGGTGTTCTTGCATCTGCTGTTGCTGCTGGAAAGCATCCATGTCGACTTTTGCTTCGTCAAATGTTGCACTTGGACAATCATATACTAGTATTTATTATCTAGACGAAAGATGATACTATTAATAGAACTCTTTTGGACGAATATACATTATTCAAGTATACTACTCACAATATTTATATCATTTAACGATAATAAAATGATGCTTACTTCGAATACTAATCAATTGATTTTCGTCGTTACACGTAACAGTTAAGCTTACGTCGAAGTAATAATGTTAACGCGATATTCTAGTATTAATACTGCGAAGTATTATTAATACTATTATTAGTGCGTAGGAGTACTGCTACTGTACATATAATATTACTGTAATAGTATGGCATTTCAAAATTATTCCATACCAGTATTAATACCTATTACTATACGTATAGTACAACGCAATACAACGGACCGGTAGTACTTGGTACTACAGTACTATAATATTATTAATAGCTACCGGTAGTTTTAAATACTTACTGTTAGTGCATATTGTTGTGTTTATTCTAAAACTGGAGCGACATGGAGTTTCCTGCAATCTGATTGGCTAAATCCTTGACGATGTCGATTCATTCTATCATTAACGTTGAATTAGTGTATGACTTGAATTAGTGTGATACCAAACAACTTTTTACATACAGTCAGTAACAATGAATCGATCGATACATCCAGATTTGGTGATTCACCACAAAAGGCAATCAAATTTTGGGTAAATGGACAATACTGTAGTACTCCGAGTATCATACTATTAATAGTAAGGGTGGGTCTGGATCACAACCCAATCTTTGCCCAAATAATGTTTCGAAAATTTGGTTCAAAGTAATTCGAAGAATTTGTTGTCATCTACTTCGAAGTATTGTTGACTGTCTGGATCAAACAGATTTCGAATCAACATCGACGATTCTCAGTTCTTGCCAACTTTTAGACAAAAAGTCGCTTGAACCTCTTTTTTATTTTTTGGCGAAAAACGCGATATTTGGCAAAATATTGAATTCTTCAAATTTTGGATCCAGACAGATAATTTTTCATTTTTTGCCGATTTTTTTGGCATCCAGACTCACCCTAAGGGCTGGTCTGGATGCCACCCCATAAAATTATGCCATAAACCGTTTTGGCAAGTCTTCAAAAATTTCCCAAAGTCTCATATTCCATGAAAAAAGGTGAAAAGAAGTATCTACAAAGTTGACTGGATGCCAGTTGAATTATGGAAAAATTATTTGATTTCCGATTGAAGTGCAAGACTTCAACGTGAACACAAACCTCCATAAAAAAGTTGGACCACATCGGCTCCATTTTTTTATGCCAAAAAATACCCAATTCAGAAGAAAATTGTCGTATACTAGTGTGGTATACTAGTAACGTTTTTAACTTTGGTGGCACAAAATCTCGAAAAATGGAAGATTTTGAATATTTGCAGTATTAATACGTGCAATTCATGTAGATACTGTACGCTTCCATATAAAGCGTCTCTATAATAACGAGTTACGCAGTACTACACTACTACACTGTAGTATATATATATTGTGCTTTCAAGCAAGCAAAATTTGGTATTTTCGGTAGATTCGACCAACGACGTCAAATCTACCTGAAATCATCGAGACGTCGATTGAACTAAATATACTCCCTGTGAATCCTGTCAGATACAATGTTGAACTCTGTGCAATGGAGGAGCATGGCAATACACTGGACACTCCTACGATTTGATTGGTCGATATATTTTTATTTCGATAATTTCATTGGCTACTTCGGTCCGTTGATTTACTGTTAATAAAAACGCGTCGATTTTGATTCGTCGATTGGTTTGGCCATGTTGAAATCGAATTATGAATAACATTTCCAATACTATTAATAGTATTGCTCTGCGTAATTTGGCCTGGTGCTACAACTCGATTAGTTAGCGGCAGAAATAAAGTGAGGGTTGCTTTATTTTCCTGAAATGCAGAACTTGGGTTTAGCATTGTTTTCTCGGGCTTATATTATTTTAAACGTCTGGTTGTTTAACAACGGGTAAATACATGAAAAGCACAATACAATACTACAAAACACTACAAAATGAGGGCTACTAGTATTGTTAAGCGTAGTCACGTTCCTAGATTTGTCGTCACATTGTGTTGACAATGCATTGTTCTAATGGTCAAACACTTGAGCTATGGACCAGTCCAGATGGTCGAGGTTGTCCATTTTCGTCTGGTAGCGCAGTTGGCAGTGTGAATCGCGCACGTCCGTCGTCGTCGCGTCGTCGCCCTCCTTGTCCATCGACAGGTGCTCCGTCGTGCGGTAAAGCACATCCATGTACAGGTACTCGTAGTCCTTGGAGATGGTGACGTCATGGAGCGAACACTCGTGGATGTCGAGCTGGGTCAACGCGACCTGCGTGTAGCCATCGGCGTGGTAGGCAATGAATTCCTTCTTGATGGAATCAACACAAGCGCGCGTCATGATGGACTCGAGCAGGGTCTCAGATTTGTAGGTACTCGTGGCGTCATCGGACGCGGCGGCGGCCAAAAAGTCGTGCGAATACATGGTGTGGAACACGAGATCCAATGCAACTTGCGCGCCGTCGAGAAAGTCCGGGAGATCGAACGGGGGATCAAAGTACCGATGGAAGAAGAGAAACATCATCGCTTTCTTGGACTCGGGCATATCTGGGTCAAAGAGGCCGTCTCGGTCCCATTCGTACAGACGTTCCCTGTCATCAAACGCTTCCAACACGGTCTGGAACAGCGTCGCCTTGGGTGGACTCTTCACCGGAGGTTCTGAATTTGACGACGAAAACGATCGACGGTGTGGTGACGAGGATGGCAACAGTGCATTTGAGCACGAAGGTCTTCCCTTTGGAAGCTGTCCTTGGGACGTTCGGGGAACTGCACGGCAATGCGCCAAACCCAACCCGCGGCGAAGCATGAAGCAAACAAACACTTTTTACGCGTGTGTCCAATCACAAACTTATTTCAAGCTGATTGGATTAGGGCCCGTCTGGTAACATTAGAGGGACTTTTCAAGAATCCACACGAATTTTCCAATACAATTTCCCTGAAAATCCTTTGGGGAATATCATGTTGGGAAGGTGCTTTTGCTATAGGAAAAATTCAAATTTAAGCAGAACTGCCGCTGTGTGCGTTGTTGCGGCTCTTCTGGAGCACCTACCGGTAGGGCTCCCAATCTTTAGGCATATCAACAACCCAGTGCATTAGGTGCAATGTGTACAGTTTGTGACCTTGCACCATCCCTATATGCTGTAGTGTGCATTGCGCCGACGTTCAAACATGACCGCTTTAAGGTGGTCGATGAACACTGGGGGATAGGATGTATCTGTTGGCTGGTTTACGTTCGGCTCTATACCACTGCTCGCCTACGATATCCTCGCTCATCTACTAGTGCGTCCTACCTACCGCTCATCTACGTTTGGTGCCGACCATGCATATTCTCATCCATGAAGCGAAAGTGGTTATTTTTTTAGCATGTTCAAGTGTTTTGATTGGCTACTGTGTGTGAAAAGGTATTCCCAGTCAGAAATTCTGACAGAATATATTCATCAAGAAATTCCCAATATAATCAGATCAAAAGGCGTCATCGTGAAACTTTTCAGAAAATATCACGTAGCAAAATCACTCTATTTCAAAAATAATACCAGTATTCCATTTTCTAGCAAAATGGGATTAACCAAAATGCCATTCTCAAAATGGAGGTAAAAGGTCCATTTTGTAATGTGGCCTCTTGAACCTCTTCAACGAGTAAATCCCACGTGGAATTATTGGATTTGGATTAAAACTCTTTACAGTCAAGCAAGACATGTTTCAATTTTGATCAAATTTGTTGAATTCGGCCCCAAAATGGCGTTTTGAGCCTGAATATTGTAATATTTCAGGTTGCCAGACGCACCCTAAAATTAAATTGAAATATATACGTATAGGCAATCCTGAAGTGTGAAATGATATAAGTAGTACGTGTACTTAATTCTAACATTGTATGTATTGTCCTTTCGAGCTAACTTTAAATTTGGTATTTTCGGTAGATTCGACGAAATCGTCGAGCGTCATTTTACTTAAACTAACTATACTCACTGTGACTCCTGTCCCATACAGTACAGCGTTGAACTCTTTGTGAAATGGAGAAGCATGGCAAATGCACCGGATATGACTGTGTTTTGATTGGTCGAAAGGTTGTTTTCGAAAATTTCATTGGCTACTTTGTTCCGTCGATTACTCCGTCGATTCGATTCCATTTTGAAATCGAATTACCAATGCGCATTTTATTAACTGTAAGTACGTACAGTAGTCACACATTATTTCTCGCAAGTTCTCACATTATGTTGAAATTTTAGTGACATACTCACATTTTGTCGATTACCCGGGATGGCAAAGAGAGTTTTTCTTGAACAACCTTGTTATGTCTTGGTGGCATCGACCTACCCAACGCTTGTCACACAATGAAGAACCGTCATCGTTGAAGATTTAAAGTGCGCCGCGAATGCAGCTGTATACAGTGTATCGATAAAATATCGAACCCTCCGTTCTCGTCCAAGTTTACACTCTACGATTCACTGTAACTTGGCCCCTGGGTAGAGTACCCTGTCATCTTCAATGGCTGGCAATTCACACGCCTGGGAATTGAAGCTGGCGCTGTACCGTAGGTAGCAGGCACTCTACTAGCTACCTGTAATTACATACATCGACTACAGTAGACATGCCATGAAACGTGCAAAACAAATTCGAGGCGCGAATTGTAAAAGAGAAATCGGCCCAGGTGCAATGTCAGCTGCATTTTTTCCTAACTGCCAAGATTGCATCAACGAATATCCGAGTGAGCGGGTTGATATAAAAAGTACCGAGATACTACAGTATTAAAGTACACTGTAGTGATATTCGTGTGGTCAGGAAATATACCTGTATGTACTACTGTGACTCCATATTCAACGTCAACCATGCAACGGTATTGCGATGGCTCCCAGTACTATATCCTCTCCATGCATGCGTCAATAGTCGAGATGCTGTATAGCCAACTCGTGCTGACGAAGCACATGTCAGAGGCCAAGCCTGTTGCCCATCCAAAATGCGATCACTGGTGCAGAATCGGCTGGGTCAGATGTCCTATGACGCGTTTTACTGTTAAAAAAGAATGTAATATTCTACATACTGAATATCATACAAATTGGCACACTTCAACGATGTTGAATCGACCAACAGTAAAGTACTTACTGTAACGTTATGGCAATCACATCCGCAGGTTCCATTTTCATTTGTTGCGACCCGACAGCAACATGGCGGATCTTGTCCACGCCGATGCGATGGCCTTGGCCAAAAAGCAATCCAATCACCACAATGAAGCGCACACAAAAGGAGGCCACAAACACCACAAAGGTCAGGATAAGCACAACCTCCACCATGCTCACGGCGACGGGTACACTGCAACTCCCAAGCCTCTTCACCCCGCTGCCGACAGGTAGACCGCTCTCGTCTCAATCCACTTATGCCAGCGTCATCACCACAACGTATACTCTATCCGTAGCACGCTGAAAGTGCTTGTGACACTGTCTCGTCACGGCAGTCGCCGGCCCAACCCGATATCCACGACCCTGTGCCCCAACAACGTCCAGAACTCCGAGTCGTACCACGTGCCTCCGGAACAGTTGACCGAGATTGGCATGGAGCAAATGCGCCTCGCGGGCGAAGAAGTGCGCCGCGAGTACATTGACAACCAAGGGTTTCTCTCAAATTCGATCGGCGGCCCCGAGAACAAGCACTTTGAAACGTACTTTCGATCGGACGCCGCGGACCGGTGTGCCCAAAGCGCGGTTGCGCTCGGGTACGGCCTGTACCCGGACTCGACGGCGCCGGACCAGTACTACCACCAGCCCATTTCCGTGTACATGAACCAGTTGCCGAACGAACACGACTTTGCCGCCCCCAAAGGACCGTGCAAGGCCGTGGCCAATGCGGACATCCACGCGTACTTGGAACCGCGCGCGCTCGAAACCATCCAAGAGCACAAGGCGCTGCTTGAGCAAGTGGGCCAGCTGTGCGGGATCAACGTGTGGGACATCCCGACACTCCCGGACGGCGAAGACCTTGTGACTGGGATCAAGGACATTGCCGACACGTTCACGTTCGACGCGCAGCAAGGTCTGCGCCGTCTCAAGGGTCTCACGGC